GGCGATGGACGCTCTTCATTTTTTTAGGGGTGAAAACCACCTCTTTTTGTCAAAACCCATTACACTACATATTAAAGCTTTAGGTGAGTAAAATTTGGTTCAGATGAATTGAGTAATGATTGTTAAAAGCTTTGGAAAATGCCCCGATTTGTGTTATCAGAATTTTTCGAAATTAATTTTGTAATTGTAACTCCTTTATTTTACTGATAGAAGGTGCACTAAAAAACTATTTTGTAGGTAGTGCTCGCATGTAAATACGCGCTTTAAAGGTCTCTATCTTACTTAATTTTTGCCGTACAGTTTCCAGCGAGGAAAATGTTTGGAATTAAAATAGCTACAATTGGATGCTGTAGCATTTTTTACGTATCTGCAGTTGTTTTGTAATTATTTTGAAGAGAAGGACGTTTTTCACAAAATTGCAGAAATTCATTTTGCACTTTTAGCTTCAATTATTTCAAAATTAAGTCTTCTGAACTGGTCACACTTCTAGAATGTACTAATAATACCTAATGAGAGAAAACTGGAAAAGGGGAAGGATTAATTTTAATTAGGGTGGTAGTTAGAGGCTTGCGCCGATTTTTTCACTGAAAGTACGGATCTCTCTTATTTTCATCGTAACTCACTTAATTTTTATGCTAAAGTTTGTTTAAAAAACAAGTTGTAAATCAGCATATTCATGATTAAAGCGCATTTTTGGTAATGCAGGTCAGTATTTTATTAGCGAAGTTTAAAATTATCGATCCCACGAGTAATTTTGGCTGCGTTAAATAATTAATTTTATTTAATTTCAATTGAGGGTACCTACGTCTTCATTTTGTAAAACAAATCACAAAGTAAAGAATAAGTTTTTATACTGGTAGCGCTATCTAACGGTAAAATTAGAGCACCTCCGACACCCATATTGAAATTATTTTCTTCAATTATCGATCTCACAAGTAATCTAACTCAAAATAGACTAGTGCCTGTACATCTACACTATAGCAGAAAGCTTTTAGTGAAAATTTGAATTCCCTAGCTATTGTAGTTGTGGAGATCTCACGCGGACAGCCGGCCTGCCAGCCATAACGAATATAATAGCGTATCTTTTTCAAAAATGCGCTAAAAAGAAGAAGGTTTTTTTAAAATAAATAAAAAATAAAAAATATTCTACAAGTTTTTCTCTAAAAATAAATAGTTTGGCTGTTATTTGAAATCAATCAATCATTTATTATTAATAATAGTCGAAACTATAAGATTCCTGAAAGAGTTAAACAGCAAATTACAATAAATAAAGAAGACACACAAAACAAATTAAAATACACGATGTCCACTATGAGGATCTCGCCTACCTTAAGAGATAGAAAGTTGGGTAAATGGGTTGCGAATTTCCGTCTTGAATAACAATCTGGAAAGAATTTTAAAATTTCATCAATATTTTTGAAAATATTGCAAAAAAACAAAAATTTCTGATTTTTCATCTTAAACTAATCGTACTAGACATTATTCAGATACAGAGATTTTGAATATGGCATCTCGATTTTAATATCTTTTAAGATGACGGAGAAGCACGTGACAACTTTAGTTTTTTTATGGGCGCCATTTTGAATGTTGACATTTTTTCTCTTTACAACGATCTATCACACATGGTGCTTCAGTATCACATTTTTCGTAAAAATACAGTTTTTAATTTTTTGGGAACAGTGCTTTGGAGAAACAAAACGTTCTTGGTTTGATAGTTGCCACGTGTTTCTCCGTCTTCTTAAAAGTTATTAAAAACAGGATGCCATTATTCGAAATCTCCATTAAAAAGTGTCTGAGAAATGTGTTAATTGGAAATGTCTAGTACGATCAGTTTACAATGAAAAAATTAAAAACGAAAATCAGAAATTTTCGTTTTTTTGCGATATTTTCAAAACTATTGATGATATTTTAAATTTATTTTCAGGTTATTATTCATCACGAACATTCGCAACTGCATTCATTTAACCTCTCTCATCTCTTAAGATAAGCATAGTGGCACTCGAAAAATGGACACCGTGTATAAGCCTGAATATCACAGATTAACGGGCTGAGATAGAAGATACTCGTTCACTGATTATAAGGCATTTGCTTTTAGATAATTGCTGGTCACATCTTTTAGCTGAGTTATTGGTAATGATCGATATTTCAATGGTGTTTTATTGTAAAATTAACTGCCATAGTAATTGATGCAATTTAGTAAAGTAGTTAGGCGAACTTGATTAGTGCATAAATTATCAATGCTTCTCGTTAGATATAGATGAGTTCAATCACTAGATTGATAAGACGAAATATTAGCTATAACATGTAGAATGCAATTTAAAATATAAATACATGGCAGAGTTAAAATACTGAATTTGTATTACAGAAAGATCTATAATTAAGGTTAGATATTATTCGGATGGATGGATTGTCTGTGAAACTCTCTAATTTAGCATTTGGACAACAAGAGCTAACCTTTAATAACCCACAACTCGGTTGGTATTGGAGATACACCAATTATTAAAAAACGGTTGTCTTGGTTTTTTTAAAATCTACGATTTTGTTCTCCACAGTTTTTTTTATAAAATGCATACTTATCGAGTTTTTCGCGAATAACCAATTAAAAACATGGATCTTTTCTATGAAAAATTCATACTTTCGGTCGCGACCAATTGGAGAAGTGTAAACTTTCAAAAAAATGTATAGAACACTTTACACATTCATTTTTAATTACAATAAAAAATTGCTATCCTCGAGGTGTGGTGGTAATCACCCCCAGGGTGAAAGAGCATGATATAGATTTTGATCCTTAGGCTATTCCCTATCTACTTTTAATTTAATTTCAAGTTAATCGATTCATTTTGAAAAAATACTGGGGCAAAACCTTCATTTCCTGGACTATTTCCGTTAGAGACTCGTCTGATGTAAACCACACGAGCCCCTCATGTTTGGGGAACGGGAAATCTGAGTTCAGCCACTGCTCCCTGTCCGGGAGGGTGACCATGTGATTCTTCTTAGTAAGACAGCCCCGATCACATCCCTTCTTGTGAGAGGGGGGAGGGTTCCTTCCCACATCGGCCCGCGCTCAAGGGAGCCTCCAAACTTCCGCTCACCCCAATCGTTTAGCCGTATGAAAGCCTTTCGAGCCTAAGTCTAAAGGCTCTAGCCCAGAAGTGCCTCCCTCCATGGCCATAGTAGCTTTGCGCATGACAGACCACCACAAAGGTGCACTGTACAGTATTATTGGCCTTATCACTACAGTTAATATACCAGTCGAGGGTTCAAGCCACATGTGCAACCAAAAGTCCAATGAGCATGTAGTCCATAGACATGCAGCGACCTTTGTTGCCTCCCAAATACTTCACTGAAGAAATACATTTGATCAATAATATTAATCTGAACAAAAGGAAACACTTTGGTGATGAGAAAGTTGGATTTAGTGATACAGGGTGGTCACAAAAAGATAGGAAAATGTTTTTCAAATGCAACTACCACTATTTTATTTCTCCATTCGATAGTCGTTTGTGTGCTTTTCAATTTTTATAAAGGATGTCCAGTGCCTAAACCCCGTAGTTTTTTGTTTATTCAATATTTTTCACAAAAATAGTTACTATGTTAATAAACCGGTGTAGACCGTGATAATAAAGAACAAAATAAAACCAGAAAGTAAGCAAGTGAGACAAATAAATTATCTGCTGCAAGTCTACTCACTATTTCGTAATAAAAAAATAAATAAAATAAATAAAAATAAAAAATTAATTAAAAAGGCGAATTAAAAAAAAAATGAACTAGTCCTTTTAAATAGGTAATCTTATTTTGCTACGAAATAAGGAGTACAATTGTGGCAAATCATAAATTTATGGCACTTGGTTACTGTATGGCATTCTTTGGTTTTTTATTATTATGGCCTACTCCTGTTTATAAACATGTAATTAATTAATATGTAACTATTTTTGTGAGAAATATTGAATACCCTAAAAAATACGGGGGTTTGGCACAGGACGCCGCTTATAAAAATTGATCACACAAAAGACTATCGAATCGAAAAATAAAATAGTGGTAGTTCCATTTGAAAAAAAATAATTATGGCATTTTGAAAATGGAAATTTTCTTATTTTTTGTGAACACCTTGTATCACTAAATTCAACTCTCTCATTACCAGATTGTTGCCTTTTATTAAGATTTACATTATTGATCAAATGTATTTCTTAACTTCAAAATCAAGGTCGCTACGATTGATCAAACTAGGGGTGCTTTATAGAGAATTATTCGGAAAATAATTAATAATTTGGCAACACTGACAGAAAACCAAATAGTGAATAGGTTTCCATGCAGACGTTAAAAAGTGACATCGAATCGGCTAAAAATTTACAGGGTGTTCCATTTAAAAAAATCCGCTATGTATTGACACCGAAAAAATAGGACACCCTGTATATTCAAAAATATTTTCTGTAGATGCGCAACCATCTACAGTTGACATTTGCACAAAAGGTTTTTTCATACTTGATACCAGGTATGAGCTAGGCGCACTGTTGCAGGACCCTATATAACGTATATCAGACAGAAGCCGTTCATATTGACGATGTCCATCAGTCCCTTTACAGGAATCGACAAAACTTAACTACTTTCTATGAAAGAACGCGTTAATGGCCTTAATTATGGTGTGTGCCGATTGTATCCTTGAACTATGCCATACAAACTTAAGTTGAATTTGTTTTGTATCGCGGTTACGTAGGCAATATTTGAACTCCATCATTGTTTGCTAATGTTTTGATAAAAGTGAACCATTTTTATGATTTCAGACTCGTAGGCGCCTAAGCATGTCGCTAATAATCGTCTGTCAATTCTGGATGAATACTACCTAAAATTTAAGTAATTACCATGACTGTCACAACAAAGTGTCGCACTTTTTAGTCATGACGCATTCATGTACAATTAGTCGCAATTATACTGGTCAATTAAATACAAATAACTTTTTAAAATATGCCCGGCGACCTTAGCTAATTGAAGCTATCTTGCAGAGTATACCTGACGCAATGCCACCACAGACCACCACACCGATATGTGCAGATCTGGCGAGAAACATAGAAAGTGAACATCATGCTACTACAGTACAGAAAGAAAAGTACTATAAGTCATATTTTGGCACGTTTGGAGCAGAGTTAAAATGGGTTAACATAATCGCCATCTTCGCTTTACACGCATTGGGCTTTTGGGTAGTGTTTGCTTTCCCATATTGGTATCACAAAAGGTTGTTCGTTTATGGTAAGGCAAAAGTTGCATAGAATTAGTGAACATATTTTGGTTACCTGTTTCAGGTGTATTCATTGGTCAATTGACTGGCTTAGGTATAACAGCAGGCGCACACAGGTTATGGACGCATCGCTCTTACAAAGCTAAACTTCCATTGCGAATTTTTCTGATGCTCTGCTTCTCATTGGCCGCACAGGTGAGTACAACAAGAAGCCATTGTAAAGAAAGCATGTATTCTTGCTACAGAATGACTTATTCGAGTGGGTTAGAGATCACAGAGTACACCACAAATATTCAGAAACAGATGCCGATCCGCATAATGTGAATAGAGGTTTCTTTTTCGCCCACTGTGGATGGTTGATGATGAAGAAGCACCCTGAAGTAATAAGAAGAGGAAAGGAAATTGATATGAGTGACATTCTGGAAGACCCGGTTGTACAATTCCACCTAAGGTCGATCTGGAGCATTCTGAAGCAATAGCTGACTGACTTTTGCTTGCAGATACTTCACACCATTAAAAATAATGATCGCGTTCGTTCTTCCTTCCATAATCCCTCCGTTATTGTGGGGCGAAGATTGGTTTTGGTCAATAATGGCAATTTCGGTCGCACGTTACGCACTTTCACTCAATTTTACATGGTCTGTCAATAGTGCGGCACACATATGGGGGAGCAAACCGTACGATAGGTAAGCACCATGGGTGTTTTATTTTGTCGTAACCCCCAGCATATTTTAGACATATTGCGCCCGGGGAAAACATATGGGTGTCAATGGTAGCGAACGGAGAAGGGTGGCACAACTATCATCACACCTTTCCCTGGGATTATAAAACGTCGGAATTCTTTAACGTTAACTCTACGGCACGCTGGATAAGGTTATTTGAAAAGATGGGCTGGGCGTATGATTTGAAATCCGCCTCAAAGGAGTTAATCGAAAAGGTGGCCAAAAACCGTGGAGATAGATCTAGATTTGAGGACATCCACTTTGAAGTGAACGAAAACGGGGACGTGGTTAATAATTGAAAATTATTATTTGCTAACCTCTGTTTTTGTTAAACTTCATGCCTGGAAATAAGGAAAGGGAGATTGTAGATGATTGATAATTGTTATTTATAATTAAATTTAATTCAAAGTAAATTGACCCTCTCTAATTCGTACCTACAAATTTCGTAAAATCACAACGAACGCTGGTGATGGTAATTATACTGGTTGGAATGTCAACAAACATGACGTTTCCAAAACTACCGCCCTCTCCTGACGCTCGAGTGAATCTCCATTTAGCATCTTGGGCTCCACCACTATCAGGAATGTGTAAAATATTTGTATAGCGATTTGTGCGATAAATATACTGTGCGGGTCCGTTAACTTGGCCCCCCCACTGAGAGATTTCATAGTCGTATTATTTTGAAATGAATGCGCTCGTTATGCTCTCATATGCGCCACCGATAATAACTCTTGCGCCATTATCGTTTTTTAGAAATCCGAAAAAACATTTGGGGGGGGGGCCAAGTGAACGTAGCCCCCCCAGTACGTATTTTGTCCCTTGTAACTAGGTCACCTGATACATTTGGTTATGCGCTCAATTGCGCCACTTGAATTAAAGCTAGCGCCATTACGGTTAAGCCGTGACAAATTTTCAAAAAGTGGGGGGGGGCAACTTAACGTTTTTAAAAGTTACTTTTTTTTAACATCTTTTCATACGAAATTGTACTCTCAGGTATGCGCTGAAATGCGCCGTAAAAAGATATCTTTGCGCCATTATTGTTTTTTGGTTATCCTTAAATATATTTGGGGGGGGCCAAGTGAACGGAATCCCCCATAACGCATTTTGCTACCGGTATTTGTGCCACTTGATACATCTGGTTATGAGCTCAATTGCGCCACTTGAATTAAAGCTAGCGCCATTACGGTTAAGCCATAAAAAATTTTTAAAAAGTGGAGGGTCTAACTTAGCGTTTTCAAAAGTTATTTCCGGAAGTGCGTCCATTTTGAAAATATTTTACATCGATTCGGCCTTCGGAGTAACTCCTAAATACAAATTTTTAAAAACCTACCTATTTTACTTTCTCAGAATCGTTTAACTAAAGCTCCCAAAAAAACACCCTGTATAGTGTTTCTGAAACACTATAATGGCGCCAAGATTTTTGTTTACGGCGCATTTTAGCGCATGATGAAAGGTACGATGTAGTAGAAAAAACATGTTAAAAAACGTAACTTTTGAAAACGTTAAGTTAGCCCCCCCCCCTTTTTAAAAATTTTTTATGGCTTAACCGTAATGGCGCTAGCTTTAATTCAAGTGGCGCAATTGAGCTCATAACCAGATGTATCAAGTGGCACAAATACCGGTAGCAAAATGCGTTATGGGGGATTCCGTTCACTTGCCCCCCCCCCCAAATATATTTAAGGATAACCAAAAAACAATAATGGCGCAAAGATATCTTTTTACGGCGCATTTCAGCGCATACCTGAGAGTACAATTTCGTATGAAAAGATGTTAAAAAAAAGTAACTTTTAAAAACGTTAAGTTGGCCCCCCCACTTTTTGAAAATTTGTCACGGCTTAACCGTAATGGCGCTAGCTTTAATTCAAGTGGCGCAATTGAGCGCATAACCAAATGTATCAGGTGACCTAGTTACAAGGAACAAAATACGTACTGGGGGGGGCTACGTTCACTTGGCCCCCCCCAAATGTTTTGTCGGATTTCTAAAAAACGATAATGGCGCAAGAGTTATGTGGCAGTGGGGGGGGGGGGGCCAAGTTAACGGACCCATACTGTGCACGTCCTTCGGCAGGGAACAATCAATTGGTGCATTTACTCCCACCATAAATCTTAATTAATTGGGGAAAATTTTAATATCAACATGGCGGAGCATTGGCTTTCTATTCCAATGCATAATAACAATATCACGTATTATTTTCGCAAATTTGTTGAACTTTTGTTGTGTATTTGAGTAGTTAAATCCTAAATACATTAGAAATAGTTGTTAAGAGTTTTCAAACTACCGTAAATTTTGCATAATTAGTTAAAAGGGTAATAAACCATTTACAATAAAGTTGGTACTTAATAACTTTACAATACGTATGGACATTTTTTCTTGCCAGTTGTACAGATTCTTTAGGGATATGAAACGAGTCTGGGAAGAGCAGGTCTCACAGTGAAACAATCCAGAGCAAATGCAAACCCGTAGAGGGTTGGCGCCAGACAGGCATTAAATCCTAGCAAAATAAAACTAAAAATAAAACAAAAATGAAGGACCATACGAGTTTGCAAAACTCCAGTACTAGGGGCTTCTTACTTCTTGTCTGAATAATCAGCGATAGCTAACAGACTTAATTATTTAATTTCAATAACAAATTATTAACGTAACCAATTCCGTATCTTAGTAATATCAATATTATAACATTAAAGTACAAAACCATAATCAGAACAGCTGTTCCTGTTAGACCTTGTTGCAACAGAACCAATACAGTAGCTGAATTAGCGTTAGAATATAATCGATAAATGCAATAGAAAATCTTTAACAATTAAGAAATATAGAAAATAGGTCCACAATACCCGCTACAATAAATACATGCAACAATACAAGGGCATAAAGATACACAAAAACGTGTAGGATTAAATTAATGTTGAATGCCCAACGCGTATAAATGGGGTAACCAAACATATGCTGATACAATTGGCTTTGCTTACCTCAATGACTGGGTTCCCAATGATATATTAAACAACTTCGAATTTGCCGGAAACATGTGATATAAACTAACTTAGGAATAATAATAATAATAAATGCCTTTATTCACTAGGAATGGGCGAGGTTCAGTAATGACATGTATGCCATGTGCTGCTCTTCCACCTAACCCGATATAACATATAGAAATTAATATTGATATGGCCACAGATAAAACATAAACATGTAAAAAATTAAAGAAAGAATATCTCCAGTGAACACTAAGGTACATAATTATTTATATACATATAGGTACACGTTTCATACACGCATAATCATATAGGTATATTATTGGAATTAATGGGACACGAAAACAAGCAAAGATTCAACTGAAGGGAGCAATTAAGTGCATAATTTTATATTTGTAAAGGGAACGGCATTTTTTCGGTGAGAGAATTAATTGTAACCTGAAAGTTATCTCATCCACATCAGTTACTACAAGTTTTTGGAATTTTATAAATTAGTGGTCGCTTACTTTTCGGAATTTTCATATTGATTTTGATGAAAGTAACTTTGATATTCCTGATGAAATCGACCAATGAGAACCATTTGTATAAAAAGATTCTGTATCGTATTTTATTCAATGATAAGAATCAAATGCCAGCAAAGGATTTTGGTTATTCTGTTTCAGTGATTATTTTGGATTGAGGAGGAGTTTTATATTTCCTCAGGAGAATGTAAGGATAATCCATTATAAGCTAAAGATAAAATTACGGAACACGTGATCACGAAATATGAATTGCATTATTAAAATTTCTTTTGACGAGTCAAACCAATATTACAGGAACGTGTCAAGAAAAATGGACCCCAAAAAGGTCCAAAGGTCATCCAAAAGTTACTAGTTTCTTTCTCAGTTTCGAAACGAAGTATACGGACACAACTACACCACTATTACTTATTGGCAATATCCACGAATGCCCAAAATTCTATTCGTTTACGCGTGAAAAGTTTTGCTGTAAAGCCGCTTCCGAATAAATTGGTGTTGCTTTAAAAAGCCGTAGCGACCGAGATTTGGCTGTTGCGGTTTACCTATTTCGTTACCTTTGCAGTTTCGTTTCACATGCCGGAAGTTGTACGCTTCCCCACAGTTAAACGCAATAAATCGTTTTAACAAAACCTTAGGCTGTGATATACAAGTTTTTATCGAAAAGCTCGAAGTGTTGCTAGAAAAAATGCAAGGATCGCGTTATCACATTTTGAACGACACTTTGCGGAAAATTTGGTCTTACATCATGCAAATCAAGTAGAACTGAAGTGAAAGGCGAAATTGGTTAGATATAACTTATGGGTAGCACACGGTGCCTCCTAAGGATCCTACTTGAACATGAACAACGCTTTATGAATTTGCTTTTTGTGCAGTTTGTAAGTACCTAAAGCTATTAAAAAAAACCTCCAGCAAGAGAAAGTACAAGTTTTATCATGTAGTTTAGGTTCAGTTGGAACTTCGACCACATCGTTAGGGGTTGATCAGATTTAATCTCTGCGTACACAAACAAGGAATTAAATCGAGCGAATAAGTTTTAATACGCTAACTCTGGTATTTAGTTTGATTCGGAAGTAATTTACGTTTTCTTTTCCTCTGCCTTTTTGGATGTTGTACAGATTCAATGGCTGTGATTAATTGTCTACTCTCGGTTTCCTCATTTTTACGTTATTGCGCTTCTAGTCTTTACGATTCTTGCCTTATAAGTTGAACACTTAAACTTTCATTGTGCAAAAAGCACATTTAAAGCTGTTTACTTTATAGGTGCAGTGATGCGTACGATTTTAAGATCAGCGGCGCCCGAAATCGCGTGACTTAGGCTATGGTCAGGACTAAAGTTTGCTGGAGCATTACAGGGTGAAGAGAAAACGGCCTAAAACGTTTGCCTCCCCAATCTTAAATGACTTGGAATACAAATAAAGCTCGGGGTAAATGAAACTTACAGACCCATATTAGTTATTTATGTATCTAGGGTCCCCACGAGTTGTGAAAATTATGGAATGAATGAAATAAAGCTAGTTGACACTTGTGATTACCCATTTTTTGTCTAGAACTACAAATTTAAGTTAGAACAATAAATTCTTTCAACGAATAAATGCTGAATTATCGTATAACATCGAATAACAAAGATGATTCCTTAATTGAGCATTATTTCGGTAATAAACATTATAATCTCAAAGATCAGAATTAGGATTTGCTTCACGGTCGAACTGAATCAAATTGCTCCGAGGTAATTACTAGAGGTTGGGCCTCATAGACAGTTCATAGTTTGTTGAAAATAAATTATAAGTTGGTAAATTAGCATTTTAAGTAGATTTGTATGTAATTATATGCATACAGAAATCATTAAGAATATACAGTAAATTTGGAACCAGTACACTTGATACTGCCAATTTCTAGAAA